CATCTCCTGATCAGGCATTTTACCAGTGAGCTAGACTGTCTGGTACACCAGTATACGCAGGAATCCTGCCTCCACAAGAGCTGCAAGAAGACAAGCTTCCCTTGCCAGGTAGCTGCTGCAGAGTGCGACAGTGACAGCGGGATTAGAGATGAAGGGGAGGTGCAAGATCATCTGATTCCCACTCTGTTCAGCAACACAAATCAGAAGGCTGAAGCAGACCTGATCAACAGCTGGAGAATCAGAAATGCCAGAGGTAACATACTATCAGTAACCAACATGTCAGCCACAGAAATAACAAAGCAAAGTACAAGTGGCTAAACAATAATACCTCAAATATGCACTGTGTAAGGGTGTGTTATACATACAGAAAGCGTGGGGTTTTCTCCACCCTCCCCCCCAAGACTATTATTTCTTTATTTTACCACATTCCACAAAAAAACGTTTCACCTCTTTAGCATTCACCCAAAAGGATTCTGAAAGTAATATTATCCTCATGTTACAAATACAGAAACTGACAGAAAGATCTAAGGAGTCTACAAAAAGGAAAAAATTGTATTTTGTCCAGTAGCATTGCAAAAGTCATCTTTAATAAACCTAAAATAAAAACAGGGGAAAATTAACTTCTTGATAGTGCTACACATTTGAAGCACTTTTATTTTGACACTTCATTCAGCATTTGTTAAATTAACTAAGCTACAAGATAAGAAACTGTAGCCCACAATGATTTGGAAACAGATCTTCAATGCTTGTTAATGGCAAAGCTCATTTTTCATCCTACTTTGCATTCAATTGCCCTAATAAAGAGCTATTTCACCATTATTCATTATGATATGTAAGATTTCTTACTCTTACTATTGTATGTCTATATTAGAATTACTTTTCTGTTCCTTTAAATATGGCTTTTGCTTAAAGCAAACCATAGCAACTGCAATGAAGTTACCTGCATCCCCTAAGCTCTGAGTGAATTGCTCAAGCATTACTAATTTTGAGGTGGGAGGAGTTGAAGAAATGAGGTCTTTTTATATAAAAAGCTTAAATGACTCATGAAAACTCTTTTGGCATAGCTTATACATGCTTGACGACAACAACAACATATATAGCACCTTCCATCACTCAAATGCTGTACAAACTACAGTTCAACAACTAAAACCCAAACCCCACATTTATGGCCAGCAAAATCAACCTCATTTTTCACAGGACGAGGGGCTGAAGTTAGTAAAAACATTGGGCATAACACAGTATATCTGAGAGCAGGGAACTGGTTGAACAGGATCAATCCCAACACTGACCCCTGAGGGACACCACTTGTTACCCATCTCCAGTTGGACATTGAGCCATTGACCACAACTCTCTGCATACGGCCAGTCAGACAATTCCTTATCCACCGGGTGTCCATCCATCAAATTTATGCCTCTCCAGTTTAGAGACAAGGATGTCGTGTGGGACAGTGTTGAACGCTTTGCATAAGTCAAGGTAGATAACATCAACTGTTTTGCCCCTATCCATCAGTTCTGTAGCCCCATCATAGAAGGCCACCAAATTGGCCAGGCAGGATCTGCCCTTAGTGAAGCCATGTTGGCTGTCGCCAGCAACCTCATTGTTTTTCATGTGCCTTAGCATGCTTTCCAAGACAACCTGCTCCATGATCCTGCCAGGAATAGAGGTGAGACTAACTGGTGTGTAGTTTCCCAGGTCTTCCCATTTTCCCCTTCTTGAAAATGGGGGTTATATTTCCCTTTTTCCAGTCATCAGGAACTTCACCTGACTGCCATGATTTTTCAAATACGATGGACAGTGGCTAAGCAATTTCATTCTCCAGCTCCTTCAATCATAGAATAGTTAGGGTTGGAAAGGACTTTAAGATCATATGGTTCCAACCCCCCTGCCATGGGCAGGGACGCCTCACCTTAGAGGCTGTGTCCAACCCAGCCTTGAACACTGCCAGGGATGGAGCATTCACCACTTCTTTGGGCAACCTGTTCCAGTGCCTCACCACCCTCACAGTAAAGAACTTCTTCCTCATATCTAACCTTAACTTCCCCTGTTGAAGTTTAAACCCGTTACCCCTCGTTGAATATGAGAGAATTAGCCTAATAGGGAAGCTATGGCTGGATCACAACCAAAACTCAGTAACAATATTGCTCTTTCTCAAGCTCAGATGATATATTAAAAAAACTATGAAGTATTACAGACTGCACAAGCAGCCCGGTATGTGTCCTGAGAGATGCCAAACACCTGGCTTCACTGCTTTTCTCTGCAAACACTGCACCTTAAAACCAAAATCGAAAATGCAGAAACTTTCTCAAAGTGCTGCTGACCTTCCATACTGAAGACAAAGCACCCACAAAGAGCAGCTATCCATCACATGACACACGAGTGGCTTTCCTTAATTAGAAACTAGCTAACATTAGAATTAGCAATTGAACAGTAGGCTCCATACACTGCTACTGCTTCCACCTACAACCTTTATCTCAGTTCCTTCATACACTATACTGTCTACTTACCCCACAGTATTCCCTTTGTCTTCTTCTCCTACTCTATTTTCTGCCTGAAACAACTCTCCTCCTCTTACGTGCCAGGTACAATTCTCTTGCTTTCTTTCAATACTTTCTCACACCAATTCCCTCCAACTTCTTTGTTCTACTCAGCTCTGTTGGGGGGCTTCCATTGCTATTATCCATGCTGCACAACAGGGACATTGCTTCAGTCATCACACACCTTGTCATTCAAGAAGACAAGCGTGGGCTTGAAGACCTTCTGTAAAGCACGCCTGATGGCACAACTTGGTATCTCAGACCTTCCAGGGAATAGCTGCTCCCTTTTAGCTGTTCATCCAGTAGTGACAACTAATTCTTCGATCCCACATAAAAGCCTGAAGGGGAATATGCTCACATAAAGGATAAAAATTAATTCAGAAGTTCCCATGCTCTGGTTTGGAATTGTCTGTCAGATAGATCAAGACCAGAAAACTAGCCTTTCTTTCACATCAAAGACAACAGCATTCTGGGTAATCAAAGAGCAGCCTTGACAGGGATGAGTCAATTATGAAATACATCTCAAGACAGAGCCAGCAATTAGCAGTCTGCCACATAGAGCACTCCAGAAGTACACACACCTGGAGCAGCCAGGATGTGCCCTTTTACAGGTGCATGTACCACCCAACCCAGGGCCTTCCAGCCTGCATGAGCCACCTACAGCTACTGAAGAATCTCTCTGATCACATCAACATCCTACAAGAAAAAAAACAACTTGAAACGTTCTTACTGTAATTTATCCCTGCATGAGGGGCTCTCCCTAAACACACAAATCAATAGCAAGCATGGAGCTCTTCAGCTACATCAGGAGTGCAGACATTCCAGGTCCTTCACAGAAACCTGACCAACTGAAATGGTTTTTACTTTACTGCTTTGCTTCTGAAGCATGTGCACTATTTAATACTTTGGAGGCAGTTTATGTTTCTGAAGCACTGTACAAATACCAGCTAATTAGAGACAGCTAACAAGACTATCCCAAGACACTGAATCTCAGTATGATGCAAGGATTTTTATTTCTTCCCCCCTAAAATAGGAGAAAGTTCAGGATTGAAAGACGCCCAAGAACATGCTCTCTGAACTGTGGAAGAGTATCTGCAAGCAAAAGGCACTGTATTTGAGACTTCAAATCGCCAGGTAGGAAAGACCCAGCTCAGCCAGGCTAAAGATGAATGGCTAAGGTTCACTGGTAAATGCTGAGAAGGTATCACACACACCACCAGATGCCATTTCTATTCACAACAGACCTTGACATGGTATGCACTTGTCTCCTGAACCGGCACTACACTGCAGCCATGCCTCTAGGAGCCCTTTTCTAAACAAAACAAATGAAAAGAAACCGTTAATCCCTTAATTAGGGGCACCCACTTCACCTTCTACAGGAATAATGTAGAAAGCCTGAATGGGCCACATGTCACCCAAGGCAAAAATGTAGTAAGTTAAAGCGACTCAGATTGTTGGTTCATTTCTCCGCACCTACACTCAACTGTGCAAAGGTACTGAAGAGAAGTACTCAGTGTTAATTGAGAACAGCTTCACAAACCACTGATCACTGCCTTTTTCAAAAGTCAGCCTTCTCTCACATTTCTGATGGGAGTTGCATTACACTAGCCAAGTCACTGATTCTAGGTCAGAAGCACAGCTCCAGGAATACAAAATTAGGAGCACGTTCCCTTGAATTTTCATAAACCTTCTCTTAAGCCACAACAGCTAGGGGATTAACTGTACTTTCCCAGCTCAGCTACTTCACTGTTTGCAAGATAAGAACAGAAGCACACACCACATCCACAGAAGCAGCTTGTTAGGTGTCATCATCCATTCTGCTACCCTCTTCCTCTGACCTCCCACGCCAACAATTGCTTCATAGAACAGTCCTATAAAGCTACGTCCACTAGATTATGAGTCAAACCGCATAATACTTATCTATTTTAGAATACCAGTGGCATGAACCAGACTACCTACAACCAAAGCAAAGGTCAGAGTTAAAAGCCTCTCTTCCTTTCCACTGACATTTCTAGGTAGCTCTCTTCAGAAGGAGCTGCACGCACATTCTATGTGCATCCATCTCTTACAGTGAATTAAAAAAAGTAAGGTCCAGGCCCCTTTACCCAAGAGCCTACCTTCTTTCAACTTACAAATATCTGAGAGAAAAACACTACTGCAAAAACATTACTCCATTTCTCCAATCAGGTGAAGAGGGACTCAGGTAATGAAACAGAAAACAAAGACATTTGGATACCATGGTGATCACGGGCAGACAAGAAAGTAAATTAGCTACCATTATGATAATGACCTGGCTTTCCAAAAGAGGTAATTTGCATGTAGCAACTAAGAAGCAAAATAAAGATGCTTTAACAGAATTGCTGCTTGCTGTTCAACCCTGTAGCAATAGAACAAGGAGTCACAGCCACCAAACAGCTGCCCACTCTGAGATTTCCATGTTTGACTGTCTCTGCAGATGTGAAGTACCTGACCAGAGCTCCCTCCAGGTGTAATGAAGCCTCACTCTGCATTTCTTCTGGTAGCACAGCAGCTTGTGCACAATCTGAATGCACCGTCTGGAAGAGAGAGGGCAAAGAATTAATTACACTGCATTTCCCAGCAATTCTACACTGAAGCTGGAAGCATCTCTGAAATCAGCAGCAGGGAAATAGACAAACTCAAAGCCTATCAGAGGAGGATGGGGCTCATGGGTTTGGGCACCTAAACGGAAGCAACACCCACAAGGAAGAACCAGGCAAGATGAGAGAAAGCAGCTTGTAAGCCAGTTTAAGCTCAGCATGGTTGGACCAACTACAAATGCAAGTTTGTTGTTTATATTTAATGACTACTTTCCACTCACTGATGCCTTTACCTGAGGGTCTCATAAGCTCCACAAAAGGAGTTACTTAACTTGCAGGCTCCATATGTATGAGGTCCTGCACTCAGATTTTGTAAAATCTGGACACAATGGAGCTCCTCAGTTTCTTTGGTCCAAATGATGAGGCTAAAGTAAATGACAAACTGCAGGATTTTTAGTTTGACTATGGTATCCAATTTAATTACATTTAAAAAAAAGAAAGAGGAAGATTTCTGTCAAATTTTCCAGTCTACTTAAACAAGTAATTTAAGTATGAGCTTTGGAATGACCAAGCAATACACCCACATGCTCTGAAATCTCCCAACATACAGCTAGTATATTTGTGAAGTCTCCAAATCCTGTAGGTCTCTAAAGCATTTAGTGTTCATACAAACTCTCAGATGCACATTCTTCACAAATAACATCAGAACCAAATATACAACATAACGGAGTAACTTCTCTAGCACTGGCTATCATTAAGGACAAGACAGAAAATACATAGAAATTTGAATTTTTTTGACCAAGCTATTTTTAGTTGCTGACATTTAGGAAAAACAGAAGGAAGACTTCAAAAAAGAAAAATTCCTTTTTGCCCAAATCCTTATTTCTCAAAACAATATTACTTCATTAATGTCAACATGTCAGTGAAAAGACACTACTGAAAGACACAGACAAACACAGAGAAATCAAATTTTAAAATATTTACATGGAAGTTACTCAAACTCGGGGTGAAGAGTTCCAAGATAAGGCTTTAAAGAGTCATAAGAAATAATATGCAGAAGGTATACATCATTCTTTTCAGACCCTCGGGTGATCCCCAAAATACCACGATGGAGTAAGGGAACTAACTTTAGACAAATGAATGTAAACACATTTATAATGCCTGAGCATCACATTGTGTAGTATTTCAAATTGGATTCTCATAAATTCAACCAAGAAAAAGCAGCAAACCAGCTAGGATAGAGACAGCTGTCTTCAGATCAGGAACAGCAATCGCCCTGGGGAGAGACCTGCTATTTCTGATGTTACTGGTACCACTTAATGCCAGTACCTTTCCACCTATGTAGTTGCTTAGCTGTAAGACTAAAATTGGCCTCTACAAAAAAATACCACAACTACTCACGGCACTTACCAGAGAGAATCTAGTGATGGCTAAAACATTTCTTTATAATTACAGTAGCTGTTAACGCAAAATAATCTGCAGACATATCTGGGCACTGAAATCTTGTGGTTGTATACAGCACCATACAGCTTTCTGGGTGAAACTGAGGCATGGAAGTAAAGGTATGAGAAGGGGCATAACAGTCCTAGTACCCCTGGCTAAAGAGCCCAAGCACCAGCTACCAGCCCATAGACTCCCAGACCATACTGCTTTAGTTATGAAATTATCCATCCCGGTGGGGTGTCTCTGTCTTTGGCTTTGTGCCGAGGATTCATAATATACATAATGGACACAAAGCACCCTTGGTCAAAGCAACCTTAGATTTCTCTTTTAAATATTAATATGCCCTCCCTTAAGCAGCTTCATACTGTCACCTTTTAAACGTACTGCAGAGAAGTATGACACTATTTGTGCATTCAGAACACCCACTTTGTCTGCAATAACTGCGTCTGCTATGGGATGTTTTAGCAGGAGTGTAGTGAAAGGACTGCACAAACATGCCAAAATGAATGGATACAGATGTCCACTGATGGTTGCTGCTGCCCATTATTTCTACTCTCATGAGGGTTCTAGATGTGACCTGACTTTTGAGCGCAGGCATTTCTCATTTTCCTTGTGAAATTCCAAGGCGCAACACCCATCTATAGCTAATTCTGTAATTGTCATTAAAAAAACCCCAAACATTTCTCGCGAACCCATAATTGAACTGAACAACCCTTGCAAAGGCACTGTAGTTGCAAGGTTATTTGGGCAAAATCAGAACATGCTGAAAATCTACCTTAAGGGAAAACAGCCTATGTATCTTTCTCTCTTCTACAGAATATAGTGTTGTTCAAGCCTTGGGGAAATTCAGCACTGTACAAACAGTCAGAGCAAAGCCAATGATCTGCCTAAATCCTATTTCTGCCCTCCAGGCTAAAGCAGAACAAAGTATTCTAGGGGCCTCATGGGACACAAGGAGTACTTATGTGTAGACATGTCCTCTCCTTTTCCCCATTGCTAAATTTTACCCCCTGCTGCTTAGCAGGCTATTTCAGGCTTAAACCTCTCTCCCACTCTCCAGATTGCCTTCCAGGCCTCACGTCAGTCAATACCTGGGTTTTCAAAACTGTCTTTTCAGTTTCTAGACCAAGATTCATTTTCTGGAAGTGGAGATTCTTGCAATGACTGTGTATTACGAAACTTCTTTCAGACCAAAAAGCTCTTTGTGTTTGATCAAGTAGATTAGGAAATCGGTCTGAAAGGTGGAAACTCATTTCGCTTTCAATTTTCTGGCATACAGAGCATTTTAGAAGTAAGAAAAGTTGCTGGAAGAGTTCATGCTCCCACCACCAACCACAAAGTGCTGTTTCAGTCAGAAGATTGCTCTATGACTAGAATTTTACCCAAAGTCAAACTTCAAATGAAATCACAATGAGTCACCCCACAGACACTTACACATAGAGATCCATAGGAAATTCTTTCATCATGTGTGTTACAATGAATTCCACCATCAAATCTGACAGAAAAGAAAATGATATGGTAAGCATTGAGCTAGCTACAGTTAATTTCTAATAGACAACAAGGAAGTCAAACTACCCCATCTACCTACCTCTGTCAGACAACAGTCCTGCTTAGATGAGAGAAATTTCAACTGTCTGTCTGTTTTAAAGAGCATTATGCATCCTCTGGAATTAAAAAAACCCAACTACTGGAAACTGAGGGTACATAACGTAACTTGCTTTGAGGCACTGCTTCCCCATAAGCTTTCCCCCCACTATTAGTCAAAGAATACACCGTGAATTCTGATGCTTAGAATTGCTCTTACATTTCAAGCCATGTCACTAATGGAAAATTCCACTGAGAAGCACATTTTAGAAAATCATTCTTACCAGAAATAATGCACTGCCTACATGTTTACTCAAAGAGAAGACATTGTAGAGAACACCTATTTTTTCCCTGAAATAAACTCTGAAGCAAGTAAACCTAGTTTGATCTCAACATGGGCTAAATGTCTGCTTAAAACTCACTTAAGAGAAAAGATTAAAAAAAATAAGGGAGAATGTCTCTAACATTTAAGAGCTCCCAGTGTGAGGATAAGAAGCAAAGAGTAGAGAAATACAATTGAAGAGGATAAATTACTATGGTTCAGCTAATAAATGCTAACAGAACGTGCGTGTGTTCTCTGCCCAACACAGCTTCAGTGTAAAATGCTTAACCTGTGCCAGTGGTAGCAATTGTGAGATGTCACCTCCTAGGGCGCTAACAGCCCAGCAATACGTCTCAATAGTGACTAAAAATAGTCCAAGGAAAGAGTTCATGAAGTATAGAAAGATTCTTCGTGCAGTTTTCTGTCCTGGCTTCAACAATCACCTGTTTGAAAATACTGGAGTCTGAAACTGCTTCCATATTATCAAGCTTAAGAATCATTCAGGGATCCAAGCTCCATCCATTTCTGCACCTATTTATGCTTTTGGCCTCAATAGAAATGAACGTCACAATTTAATCATATGCTGCATGAAGACCTTTCCATTTTGTCTCCATCTCCACAGGCAAAACCAACCCTAGCTATTGACATTCCTATTGGGCTTTTGCTCAGAAAAGGATAAATGCCCAGCAAACACATTCACAAACATGTGTCCTTTCCATAGGTTTGCCCTCATCATATCATCTACAAAGTTGTGACTAACTGTTGCCACAACCACCTAAACCACTAAATTTATTAGTCAACAGCCCTTCCCATTGCTACTAATTCAGTTACAAGGGGCCAAGAAGCTTTTGCAAAACTTACTGTAAATGTATATAGGATTTCTTGCTTACAGAGCAGCAATTTTGGATTTAATTTCTCCATGAGGAGCCACATATAAAGATGGACAGTCCATTGCTGGAAGTATCTTTAGTACGTAACTGCCCTCCTTTTAAATCAATCCACCTCTTCCCTTGATCCACAAATCTCATATTTCCATTGCAGAACAAAAGATGTTACAGGAACCACAAGCATACACGTGCTCTAACAATACTCACCAAGCACCGCACACACCAGTGGGCGACAGGGCAGGTTCTTGTCTGCTGCTTTCTTTCTATGTCTCATTGGCTTCAAACACACAAAGAAGAAAAGAAGTCAGTAGAAGCCTGAAGTGACATTCTGTGTATTACTGTATCTTTTGTGCATGTAGTACCATCAGCACAGGCTTCCCTTTGCCTTTTTTGCCAAATGCTTTCTCATCTATATTAATCCTACAGGCCACGGCTGCAGCAAAATTGTGCCATGCTTTTCAGCATGCCAACTACTGGGGTTTTATTTCTAGCTGTATAACTGAAGGGCACTGTTATTATCATGACAAGGGGTGGGGGTGGTGGAAGAAGAAACAATACCACACACAAAAAACTATCTATTGGCATACAGCAATTCCTCCCCCTTGGTTAACACATTGATTTACTCCCGACTCAGAAGTCTGATCTGCATTCTGATCAGCACATACAGTATTAAATGGCTTTGGTCTTTATTGTAACAGGCCAGAAAGGCTAATTGAAGGGCAAGTTTGTAGTTAAGTGGGAATAACTAGCATCCTTGCAGTATGCTCACTATAAAGTAAGATGCTTGTTTCTGTCCTGAACTAGTGACACTTTCAAGCGCTGCTTCACTGTCAGATGACGTGGAACTTGCCAGTACCACAAAGATATCAACTTAGTATAACCATTCAAATTACTTGTAACTACAGAGCTTCATGAGATAGGTAAACACTTCCTCCACAGACACCAATAAGAAAAACCTCTGGAAAAAGATATTTTAATCCTTGAAGGTGAATTACCCCACCCAGGATGAAGCATAAGCCAAATCTGAGCACTCAGTGTAACTCCATCTGGAAAATGATATATCACATAAGGGCTAATGCTTGCTGAAGATTCAGGCAGAACACCGTCTTTGCCAGAGATTTCTGCAGACCTCAAACACAGCTCCTCCCTACATATACAGGCCCCTGAACTCACTGACAGGGAAACCAGCTCTTTGCTATTAGAAGGAGTGAAACATTCTGAGAGCAACTTCAAAATTATTCCCAAATACTGCATTTCTCACTGGTATTTTCACATGTCTTAGCAATCCAGGTTAGAAGTCTCTGACATAGTTTTTAACATACAGGGACTAAAATCCTCTGTGTTCTCACCGCAAAGAGAAAAATAGACCATCTGGAGGAAAAGACTCACCATTCTGTGTAGGTTTACTCGAAAATTCATGTTGTCATCATGGAGAAAAGCATTAGCATACTGATCCTATTGAAAACAGCAAGAAAAGGGAGGAGATATGAATAGCCAACCAAGTGCCCAACACCTCCCACTTGCATCTCAAATCACATGTGTTTCAGTGTAAAACTCCCAACACAGAGCAATAAGGTTAAGCCAGCTGTCACCTCCTCTCATCCCCACCCATGTCTCCAGTCACATAAAAGTAAAACCCTCCTGATCCTAATTCCACTTTAACTAAAGTGTGCACTACTGCTTGTTTTGTTAACAATTTATTTTCTGCTCTCCTCCTTTGCTCATCCAAACTCTGGACTTCACACACCACAGTGTCAAGAGTTTAATAAGAGCTGTATAATTCGTGTGCTGGATTTCCATGCAAGTTCCTATAACCGTGTGAATGATGGTTTATACTGGCTTTTTGATGGAACCATCATGCCAGAAGTTCCTGCAGTACTAGCAGATAGGTTTATCAGCTGCATTACCCCTCAGGCAAAGCTCATTCCAAGACCAGCTCTAAATCCAAGTGATTCCTCCAGATAATGCACACCCAGGTTTGGTAATAAATACACCCTTTACTACCAGAACCAAAACATGCTCTTGCTCTGCAGAAACAGAATTTCTTATCTCGTATTATCTATACATCCACCTGAAGAACTCAAGTACCAAAACAACTTCGTTATAAACATCTGAAATGCAGATGATTACCATTCAGGCTGCACCCTGGAGAAACATTACTTCAAAATCCTTACCTTGGCTATCGACATCGCTGCTTTTTATTCTTTGTTAAGAATGAAAGGTCTGTACTTGCAATGAAGCAAAATGCAAATGGCACACAAACTCAATCATCATTCAGGACATCGATCAATCCATTAGTACCTACTTCCCATGAAACAGGACTACACTCAGACAGGACTGCTGACGTAGCCCTGCAATACTGCTTTCTCACCCTACCACTAGATTTGCTACTTGTCTTGCTTGTAGGGACTTACGACCATACAGCTTTCTTTCAGATTCATATGCTTCTTAGGCAGATGGGATATGGCACTGCCCATGCTTAGCATGAAGAGCACAGAGCTGAAAGCCATTAGCACATAGCACATTGCTCATCTAAACGCCACACCACAAAGTTATTCAACAGCTAAAGGAGAAAAGGCTTAGGTTCACTCTTTTCTCTCTTCACCTCCGGGAGTTCGGTAACCCAAATAACATGAGCCAATTTTCAGGTAAATTTTAACATCAGGTTATTAGTAATGCATCAGGTTTATTAGCCAAATGTTAAGTGCCTGAGGTCCTCACTACTCAGTATCACTGCAGATCTTAAGTTTCTGCTCAACAGGAGCAGGGGATGTGCATGCAGATAGAGCCCTGTTACACACCATCTGCTGAACACTTTCAATCAAGAAACCTACCTCTGCTATGCACGTCAGGATAATCAGACACAGCTTGCCACTGTGTAGCCGGTGCTCATCTGCAAAGAAGAAAACAAGTCCTCCATGAGCTTAACAAAGCTGAAGAACAACACTGCAGCAAGAGAAAAGCCCAGCCTTGGAGATTTTGTATACTCCTGCTTCCTCCATGATAGCTAATAGTATAATTACTCTCATTAAGCACTCACCCTCTGGTCTGATCACTAAATCCCACCAATTTGTCACCAGTCTGTGCAAAGTTTCTGGTCTGAACCTCCAATAGCACTGTAACTATCAAGTGGGTTTTCTGTATCATTCAGCTTTACTTCCACAGATATTCTAAAGGTTAGTCCCTGTCTTTCTGTCTCAGCAGAGATGTACTTTTCCCTCTCTTAGAGAAGACAGAAAGAAAAAAGATCACCGTTGCTACAGGCTATGAAAGAAGCAGCAAAAGTTTTGGTAGAGGCATAGCATGGTATAGCAGAATGACTCCTAACAGTATGCTCAAAGTCCTGAGTTTTAACCCCAATACTGAGAGACATGACCAACTTTGCTCTGTGCAACACCTTGAAAGAATGAAGTCTGCAAAGACTTAGCATTTTAAGCCAAAGGAGTTCCACCCTGATCATGTTCTGCAACTTGTTATTCATCTTACAACTTCAAGCAGCTTTTGTCCTGAATGACAATTGGAGGGCTGAAAGTCTCACAAATAGAGAGGGACTAAGGCAGAAGAATGCCATTTTTATCTGGATTATTTAAAACTCTTCCCTCTCAATTTTAACCTTGAAATATCAAAAAGATCGATACTGTCAGAGTAACTTGGGATGGGAGAAACCTCTGGTCCAACCCATGCTCAAAGCAGGGCCAGCTAAGATAGGGTTGTTCAATGCACTGTCCAATGAAGCTCATTTAAAAATCTTTGTTCTAAAAAACAACCCACTTACACCACACACACACCCCAAAACACAAAGAAAGAGGAAACAACCACAACAATATACAATTCTGAGTAAGCTGAAAACTGCACACTCCTGAGACCTCCAATAGCTTCTCTAAAGCATAAGACTACCTACCAAACATGCCATCCCAGACATCTGCCTTAGAGTCAAACTTGGAGGAGAGAGAAGTCTGAAACAGCTAGACCACTCTCCTATAAATCAGAAGACACCATCAGCCAAACTCCTTGCATCTTTGCAGGTCACTTTTATAAACACTTTGCTAGTTAGTGTATGTAAAGTAATCTATAAAAATAGACAGAATGAGCTGTTCTGTCTAGTTTGATGCCTCTTTTGTTTTCCTTTCTATGCTGCTGAGGGACAGATGTTTACTAACAAGACGTGCCCTGAAGTGTGCTGATTTCATCTTGCTGCACTAAGTAAGATGACGAGGAATTTTGGAATGGGAGAATTAAAAGTCTCTCCTATGTCTCCTTACCTCAGCTAAAATGTTTAACTGAAAAGTTTTTCACTCCAGCAAAGCAGGAGTAATGGCGTCAAAGAACTCTGATACACTGGAGTCTTGTTATTTTCCTTTTGTAAGGCCTCCCTGTATATTTTTGTACCACTTCTCTCTCTGGGGATCGTGCTGTAAAGGCTTCTGTTTCACACCAGGTACTCTGCCTTCAGCCAATGTATTATGATCATGCCATTTTTAACAGTTATGGGGCAGGTGTACAGGCAGTTACTCGCACAAACACTTCATACTTTCACAGCACCTTTCATTAGAGGAACAAAGCATACGACTTTCTATGGGGAGGTATATATATGAACCCTGGTTTACAGATGGGAATAAATGATGCAGAGTTTTTGTCTCTCCCAAGGCAGCTGCCTCTGAATGACACAAGATAGAGAACAAGAGGAGGATATGGCAAACGCAATCTACTAAATTATGTTCTCTGAGACAGGACCAGAACAACTGTTTAGTCCTGGAGCTGGAACAAACCAATCTCCACTCTAAGCGTTTCCACCTGTATCAAGACTCACGGAGTAAATTGGAGTCATTCATCCTTCTTCTCTTGTCACTATATTGGTGTGACAGAGTCACAGAATCACTGAGGTTGGAAGAGACCCTTAAGATTGTGGAGTCCAACCGTTAACCCAACACTGCCAAGTCCACCACTAAACCATTGTCCCTAAGTGCCGTGTCTATATCTCTTTTAAATACCTCCAGGGACGGTGACTCAACCACATCCCTGGGCAGCCTGTTTCATGCTTGGTCTTGCACAAGGAGAAAAAAAAAGGTTTGGCAGGGCCCCATTTATCATCAAAATATAAGGACAGGAATATACCCATTTGAAACCCAAACCCACTGGGTTGGAAGGCACACTTTTTTTGAATGATCAGTCCGCAGAGCTCACTGTCATGTTACTACCATGGCAGGAAGGAGATTAAGTACATCAGTCACATGAATTTCAAATGTTACACAAAGTAGAACCAAAGCAAAGAAAGAAACATCAACTCCTGTCTCACACAAGAATAAACTCATCTCTCACTGGCTTGTTTAGTAAAGAACTCCCTCTATGAAATTTCACTCCATCTGAAACTAATCCAGTTTGGCAGTTCCTGAGGCCCGATGCAGACTTTCCGTATTACAGTGACTAATAATTGCAGAAGTTAAATTGAAAAACATAAAATTGTTCCACTAAAGACCTGAATCAGCAAGAGAGACCCTGAGAAAAGCAAATGAGAATGATTAGAGAGCTGGTAAGCCCTCTCCATGTGTGCAATCTATAAAAAATGACTGAGCAAAGATTGATGTGGTTTAGCTTAAAGACAAAAGCAAGAGGAAACATGAAAGCAGACTTCAAATACGTAACAGCTGACACAAAGGAGAAAAAAATAAACCATTCTCAATATCTATCTTGGAGAAGATAACTAGTAATTAATTTAAATCACAGCAAAGAATTAGAAAGCACATGAAGCTTTCTCACACCAAGGGTAGTTAAACACTAGAACAGATAGTCTAAAAACGATGTGCCACAATCAGAGGGTCTTCATCCAACCTCTGAGCAACATCTTTGAGAAAAGATACAGGTAAACCTGATTCTGCTTTGGCTTTGTGGAGTGTATTAAATATTTTCATTAATTCCCTTTTGGTCCTAATTTCAATTATTCGCTTTTTTCTCAACTAGCTTGCATACTGAACAAGAACACAACAGCCAGGTACAATTTCACTGCAAGCTAGTAGGTACAAGGAAACCCTCCTGTCTGCTCTCTTATTCAGTGCCAAGCATTCATGAAGTTCAGTAATCTGTGTTTCATAGCTCTGCAGCTACCTTCTATTTTTGTTCAGCTGTTAGATCTCACTTAACAGCAAAAGTCCATAATAGGCTGAAATATGGTACAAAGATCACTTGTTATGTTCACACTATGGTCTTGCCCATACAATCACTGGGCAAAACAGCACTCTTGGGTATCTTGAGCAGGAGGTGAAGCAATACTTCAACTCCAGCAAGCTGAAATTAACTCCCACAAAACTATCAGGAGAAACAAAAAGCACAATATGGAAATATATATTCTCAAGCAAATTACTGTCAGTACAGCATAAGTTACTGCTGTCCTCTTTATAATCAAAGAGCTACCTCTTTAACCAGCAAGTACCAAAGGACGAGGGAAATATTTCCTCCTAATGCTGAGCTTTGTCCCCCGTGTCAGCTTCTAAACGTTCTTAAAAATACTTCCCCTCTCTGTCAGACAGTTGGGAATCAGATATGCTCACACCTCCTACATAGGGACAGACTTGGTTATTAGGTACTATTATTATTATTACATTCTTTCCAAATTTGACTTCTCTCCTGCCAGCATTAGGTCTCTCCTCATCTCCTAACTCTCTATCTTGTGATAAGAAATCATTTAATTTTCTCAAAAGGTGGAATCTTCAGTCTTCTAAAGGGACTCTAGTAAATGTCTATTTATGGAGTGACTAGACATGTTCTTATGCCCTCCTGACTTCAAGAAGCTCTGCTTGCTGCATCCAACAGAATGTATTTACCTTTTGTGTCCTGCATCACAATTGAGCTGTACTTCAAGAAGGTTATCAGCAGGTTGCTAGTTTGCACATCAGCATCCAAAGGCAGCTCCGCAGAGCTTATAACTGGAACAAAGCAGATAAGACACATTTACTCTCCACAAACACAAGAAACAACTATACAGAGAACCAAGGCACAGACGCAGATCTGGGACAGGATCAGCTTATTTGCAGCCACCTGACCTCCTCCTCCTTCATGAGCACCCAGCAAAGATTTTAGTTTGAAGACAGGTACCATTCCCTCAGAGTCTATTTCTCCTGCTATAAGTATAGATTGTGGTACCCAACAAAGTAATACCCTCCTCTGTCTTCCCCACCTCTACTTCCCCAAGGGAGATCAGCTTGCTAGTTTAGCACTCATCAACACTCCCAACCTAGGGAGCTCAAGATATTCACACCATTATCCAATTCTTAGAACCAACACAGCTAACGTTCACATCAGTTTGGCAAGAAACATGCTCAGCAAACACCCTTTTCAGTTTCAACAATCTATAAAAATTCCAAATTTAAATTTGGAATTTCGGTTCCAAAGGGTCCACATCAATTCCTTTCTTCCTTCCCAACAACAGCCTCTCTTGCAGAAGCAACACACAAGACAGTAACCAAACAGCTACTGCATAACCCAAGTGGTATAAAAGAGAGGTAGAAAGAGCAGCTTTATGAAAAACAAGAAGCAAAAGCAATCATAGATTGTGCTAGAGAAATCACAACACAGCAGGGAGCAGAAACATATTTTCCATACCCACAGCAGAACAGCAGATCATTGGCATTTCTCTAGGACACACTCCCTCCTACCGCCAGCTGTACTTTTGACACCTTAACACTGGACATCATCTGCCTTAGACTTCACAAGAAGCTATCTCAATTACTCAGCTAATTGCACAACATGCCTCCTGCTCACTCCCCATGTACCATCTGAAGCCCTGAGTTTATGAGCTGTCAAACCTCCAGCATGTGACTGAGCCTGAGCTGTGTGCAAGGGGCATTCTCAGCCTTCCCATTCAGAAGGGCTTTACAAGAAATACGGGAGGGTGGTGAAAATGCAGCATGCATTTAACTGCAGATCCTGCCAGGTAACTGTGATATCCTTTAAGATAAACTAGCTCAGACAAAAAAAAACAAAACAACAAAAAAAAAAAACCCACCACACAAAAAAAACCCCAAACGAGACCAAACTGAGCTACTTTAGGAGGACTTTGGTAAAGCATTTAATACAGTTCTGTATGAAAAAAATTAGAGAGAAGCAGATAGGTGAGAACCAATACGGAAATTCAAAGTACTTCAAAGATCTGGCAAAGGAGAAACAATTGGAGAAATTATTAGTCTGGGAAAAAAGTTATTACTTTAATTTCTTAGGTGTCAGTTTAGGGAACAGTTTTCTTTTTTTGTGAGTGACCTTGGCACAAGAAACAGTTGCTTGCTAATGAATCTGCTAATGACAGAAAAGTGGGGGATACCTCAAAACAAAGAAATATCAGACTGCACACAAAGAACAGGATAAAACCAAAGATCGCATAATAAATACAAGATGAAATTCAATAACATAAGCCATAGGGTCAGGAATTCAGAGGTTTATTTCCATTGTGAGCGGCAAGCTCATCAGCTGCAAATGGAACGCTGTGATACCATGGTATGCTGTCAGATCATGAGATGATGAGCTACCAACACCAAGCGCTGAAGAGTGCGGTCCTACCACATATCCAGAAATGCACTTCCAGCAGAGACAGGAACACTGTAATGCCCTGCACAAGGTGCTGGTGAGACCTTGTCTCAAATACTCTGAATAATTATGCTGATCCCATGTTCAAAGAGGATGAATTCATACTTGAGCAAATTTAGAGAAAGGCTGGTAAGGTGATCAGAGGAAAAGAGTGCCCGTCTATGAGACAGCAAAATACACAGGCAAGTAACCCAATGTTTAAAAGAGCTGTGTTCCAAAGTAAGGTTAACATCATGATAAATGGGTATAAACTGACAAGAGATGCAGGATGGGAAGTTGAAGATTTTTAACCAAGGAACAAAATGCTGAAACTGCCTCTCAACAGGAATTACTGGGAAACAATTTTAACAAATTGAGATCAATTTAAGACATTCTAAGATCATGTGCCTTCAAGCACAAGGCACTAGATTCAAAAAGTCAATGGGTCTTTTCCACCTCTACGTGCCTGTCCTGACATGACAGTAACACCACTGTTCTGGCTGCCCAGAAGCTCTAACTTGCAAGTTTTCACATGCAGGAGGTCAGAGGTGGCTTGAATTACAATTGCCAGAAGGCTCGCTCTCTTCTCAAGCTATAGAGATAGCCTAAGACAGGGCTCCCTTTGCAGTGGAAACAGATCTGCAGACCACTAGAACACACATCTTAACAACTGCATTATCTCTTTTCCATCTATCCTCAGGAATGTTCAAGGCTTTTCTCAATCTTGAAGAAAGAAAAAAGTATTTATCATGACATTAGACCTTGCAAGAAGTAAGGAATTACTCACATCTGTGTTTTGGATGGCTAGGCTTGGCGACCTGAGGGGCAGTGATCTGATCCTGTATGCAACTGTACTCTGGTTCAGAGACAAGTCTGCTTTAACAAACACCACCTTTCCTAATGCAAACCTTATATGTCATAACAATGTAATGAGGCAAGTAAGGCTTATTTACCCCTGGAACTGGGGCAAGCACAAGCACAGAAGGATGAAGGAGACAACAGTAAAATGCAGGTTCTTTAAAGTGAGCACTGAGAGGCCCACAGCACAGCAGAGGTTCTCACACAGCTCAGAATTATACAACCACTTGAATACAGAATTGTAGCCCTTGGAAACAACAGGCCAAATCGATCAGTATAATCTCACTGTTCGAATCACATCAAAGAAATCATAATGGGGCTTTTACCTTCTAAAGGCTGCACATCCCCAAGTGTGAGCTGTTTTAGTCCATTCAGTCTTGAAGCTCTGGGGCTCCTGACACATTGCCAGTGTGCCCAGTCTGTTGGCAAAGTCTATGCAGTAAGACTGGAAGCTTTTTCACCCCCAATATTATGAACAGCTCAAAGATTTAGCTTAAAGTCTGAAAAATGTATTTATATCCCCAATGGGTCCTTCTGGAACTGTTACAATGAATGCAGTGAATGAATATTTAACAACAGTAAGCAAACTGACATTTAGATAACTATGGTGACAGGCACACTTGATTTACATATTATGGATCAACAGTTTCTAGCAAAAGCCTCTTTTTTTTTTTTAATAAGAAGAACTGACTCTGAAGAACACATCACTGCTTCTCCTGGTTCATGTTACAGGCCTTCATTTGTTTAAACATACATACTGAAACTTTAAAAGGTCTTAATTCACACTAAAGGCTAACAGCCAGAGACATTTCAAACCAGAATATGAACTCATTTTTAATCCCAGTCAGCATTAAAAGCACCTGAAACCCACAGATGGATTTTTACATGTTGCTCTAAGTTGAAAATAGCTCAACTATGCTTTTTCTTTTTTTTTTTTTTTTTTTTTTTTTTTTTTTTTTAATGCAGGAAAAAGAAACCAATCTTTCCATTCCAAAGCCAAAAAGCATCTTGCTAATTTTCAGCCAGAGGTAATTTTACAGCTGAGTTGCAAGACCTTACAAAAGGAGGAAAATTCTGACATACCTTTAAAATTACAGCAAGACTAAAGCACCACACCAAACTAAATTAAGCCAAGGTCCTCAAAAAAAAAAAAAAAAAAACAAACCCAAAATTATCACAGAGTAGGAATCAGCAAGGTGACAGCAAACAGAAATAAAGAATGCTTCCCACTGTAATTACTGCATCTTAAGATCAGCTTCTCTTCTTAAACGTAGTAACCTTACAAACGGCAAGAAGCCTCAAGCTTTATGAGATCGCTGCCTCTGCTGAAAGCAGGATGGAGTTTTTGTTTTGCTTTTGTTTTCTGGCAAATTAAGAAAAGAGAGTGTGAGCAAGCTGTAGATGTAGGTAAGCACAAATTCTGTCAGTTGTATAATACGGTGTGTGGGTGGATACATTTGCAATGAACACCTGGAACAGAAGCCCACAAAATGCCCATCCCTTTACATTTTACGTTATACGCACAGAGATGGTTGAGACATTGGGGGCTTTTTAACTGAAGCTTTTGATATTCATGGTAACCAGACAGAACTCATGCACAAGGAGGATCATCCTTAACTAGGATATCAAATGATCTGAATAGTTGATATTTCTCCAATTTCTGAACTGTGCGCTATTGAAACTGACTCCATTCCCTCATTAAATACTTTCTTCAGATCTAGAGGATACCATTAAGGTACATGACAACAGCCATTTGATTTCCTCTATTAAACTAGGCTATATCTGTCCATACCTTAAACAAAAAGAATTTCATTTTAGATGATTTCAAAGCGTATTTACATGGACACATAACACCTCATTTAGAAGATAAATCTCAGGGAAAGCAGTCATTTACAAAGCCTAACAGAGAAAAGGCAACAAGAGGGAGGAATACCTCCACACCCAGGCTGGATTCAAACCCCACTTAATTCAAAGCTAGGGACAACTGCATTAATGACAAGCAGGAATCCACTGTGATTCTATGTAAATCTGTTCCAATGACAAATAATCCCAGGAAAAGAACCTGACACTAGAAATATTCATAAGTATAAGCCTACATAGAATAACTAATGGGCTGGGTGTATCTTCATGCAGATACTCACTGGGTCAGTACTGTTTTCAGAAGGAATATCAGCATAATTTCACTGAGCAATATACAAGGCAAAACAGAAATAAATTCAAATCAAAGAATCTTGCTCAAGTTGCTCCAGGAAGAGACCACCAGGTCACATCTGCTCCAGACTGACCTCATTAGCTGTCATCTTGAGAAAATGCTTTGCTAGTTATTTTACAGTTTTTAATGGTTATTCCCCAGAAGATCATTCTGTTTCTTACCATCTGAAGAAGGTGGGGTGGTTCCAAGTGGAGTAACAGGTGTTGCTGGAATTGGGCTTGTTGGTGTTGTCATCAGCCCCATTTCAGGATGGCTCTAACAGAAAACACAAATGCCCAGACATACACAGGTCAATAGCTTCCCTAGGCACCAGCCGTACAGATCACTACTTGTACTGCTTCATGCTCTGGCACAACAGACATGACTAATGAACTCCCAAGAAACTTCAACCTTTCCTCCAAAAAACAAAGCTATGCTTCCTTACCTTCACATCTAACAATTAAACTGTACATCGAATTCTTTACTCCACAAAACAGAAATACATCAGAAAGTGATGGCTGTCCCCAGAATACAGATAATTTGCCTGTCCCCAGTGTAGAATGGGAAAGGGCATGCAGAAGCCTACACTGTTTATATAGCTTCTGCTTCCCCCCAAAACAACCCAAGGGTGTACATTTGAAGTCTTCCCCAAAGACCTTTTTATTTCTTTTTCTAAAAGCAAATTCTTCTTGCTCTTGCCCTCCACCTGTTCATATTCAAAGATGAGGGCAATTTATTACTTTCCTGTCTCACTATAAAGCCCAGGCACTGCAGGAAAAGAGTGCATAACATAAATAACACTATCATTATTGATCGTCTCAGCTTCCATCAGTCACTCTCCCCATTTCATCTTTGCTAATAGTTGCCTGCCTAATTACTGCTTTGACTTCACTCTTTGCAAGCTTCCAGATCTATCCATACTGGTGAGACTGCAGGCAATCTGCCATGCTATTTTAAGTCTGGCTGCCAAGCAAAATGTCCATTTCATAGGGCAAGTTTTACATAAATGTATCATCCGCCTTAATATATCATCACGATTTCAAAGTAAAAGGAAGGGATACAGAACTGCTGATTTGATGTTAGTTCCATAGGATTTTTCACAAGTGGATCTCCTCCACATTGTCTTCGAATATCTCATTTTATGACCAACTATAAATGCATGTATTTTAAGGGAAGCACAGACACACATACTACAATTCAAAGACAATTTTAAGTCAGTACATGCACCGATATAAACTTTAAAATACAATTTTCCATGGAAAATCTTACATAAAATAGGCTTGCTTACGCAGATTTTGCTATGGTGTTTACCCTTCTAGTCCCAAAACACTATCAGTTGAAAGATAATAGTGCCACCTAGCAGCAAAAACTGAAGACCAACAAGCTGGTAAGTATACCAAAACCTTACCACCAGGCATGAACACAACCGTATCCCTGCCCTTCCCATGTGCCCACACAGCAGCAGGGCAGTCACTCATGCACTCCCCAGCAATGGACACCAACTTAGACAAGAGCATTCATCAGTTTTTTGAGTTTTTTCAAAGGACAGCATGACCTACTGTGCCCTCTCTTAAGTAAAAGATTACAGATAACCAACCCAAGAAAATCAGGCCTCCATTTCAATTAAGCCCACTCATCAGTGGCTGCTTCATCTATCACTTTGACAAATAACTAATTTATTCTTTCATTTCTAATTTAAGAGCTTTT